CAGTATATATAAAATTGACAAGGCAGTTTAAATCAGATCCGATAGCAATTTGAGATTTCTTAGTCTATTGCCCTGCAAGCTAGATTTGCTTTGAGTCAAATTTTTCAATGTAGCCTTTTGTATATTTTATGTTTGCCAAGTCCACATGATTTCTCCAGTATCTGTGTGCAATCTTCAATAGTAAAACAACTCCCTGACCCCTTACAGACCGCCTACCCTCTTGTTCCTTAATATTCAGCTTTATGAAAATTAGGCTGAGGACAAAAAGCCTTGCATTGTGTCCGGTCAGCACCCCCTCCCCACAACCCAAACCAACCTCCTTTACTTTCGCCCCCCCCCTCCCTCTGCTGTTTTTCTCCTCCACACTGACATCAAGCTGCTGAGAGACCCTGCCCTCAATATGAAAGCTCATTTGCTGCAAATGTTTTGTGGTATTATGTCTGCACATTTGCGTGCGTGTGTGTGTGTGTGTGTGTGTGTGTGTGTGTGTGTGTGTGTGTGTGTGTGTGTGTGTGTGTGTGTGTGTGTGTGTGTGTGTGTGTGTGTGTGTGTGTGTGTGTGTGTGTGTGTGTGTGTGTGTGCGTGTGTGTGTGTGCGTGCGTGTGTGCGTGCGCGCGCACGTGTGTGTACTTATTTTAATCTGAGGGATTTGCATCACGCTCCCTTTGCTGTTCTCAAAACAAGCCTTATGGAGCAAAGACAGCAACATGGTTATGAAATTAAAAAAATAGGCTTGGAAAAAGAGTTTTACAATCTGGTGACTGCTCCGACACACACAAGCAAAGTACTTACCACCAGTATGTAAGTACTGTATTACCAAAAACCTTCTGCTCGTATTAAAAAACATATGAAACTATCAGCCTTACAGAAGATATTTCAAATGTCACATTTTTTTGGGGTGGGTTTGGGTACCAGCGTTTTAATAGTATACATTTGCTACTATTCTTTGTCTTTTATGAGAAGAAATGTAATATATCAGTATCTGAACATCGGGGGGGTAAAAAGTACAATCTTTACATCATTTCTTTAATATTTTATCTATTTATCAAAAATGAATAATATAGAATTATTAGACAATGACAAAAAGTTGTTGGTTGCAGGCATACAACTGAGATTTTTTTCTTAAATCTGAAACACGTTCCAGTTTGACTTTTCAGTTTGTTGTGAGGCTCATGAGGTCTTGGGTGGAGATTTATTTTTGTAATGTCCTCCTCTGCATGTACCTCTGGGCACATCAAAAGGAAATGAACCCTAATTGGAGTGAAGGGATTGGGTGAACCTTGCATGAAATTGCCCTCGGTGTCCCATTGTTGAGTGTGTGTCCCTCCGCCGCTGCGCCCCAGCAGCCGGCCTGTTGACTTCAGACAGTGCTCACTCAACTATGAAGCCTGTGGTGTTGTAAAAGTTGAGCGAGGGAGTGTTTGTGTGAGGAAAATAATGTATAGCTGCCGGCCTCTGGGAGTGACAGGAAAAGAGATAACGGGGACATTTTTTGGACTATTTGTTTTTCTTCTGAGCGAGTGCAAATGTTAGCTCTGAAGAGAGAAAGTGAAAGGAGAGCGTGAAGGAATAATGAATATAGGGTGAGGGGGTGTTGTGTGTGGGGCGGAGCGACGAGGGCAAGTGGGGTTTTAGGGGTGTGTGTGTATGTTTTTAAACTATGTAAAATGGGGGAGGTGAGTGTTTAGGATTTTGGATTGGACTGTAATCCTTTAGTCCTGGATAAGAATAACCATGCGCAATCTGGGTCAAACAATATGACAGGGACACACACACACAACATATTGTTTTGCTCACATACTGGTGGTGAGTGTTGAGACTGGTTTTGGCTGTGGTTACCTCATCATGACAAAATGGCCTCGGCCGAAGGTTGCTGTTTTACTGCAAGAGAAGGTTGGTTCCTGTTTGTTAAGTATAGTTATTTTTGTGCATCTAGTGTTTGTGTTTGTGTGTGAGAGAGAAAAATATGTTTTGGTGTTTCATGCATATTCATTAGAAGGTTATGGTGTGTTTGTGGGACTCGGCAGTGCAAGTCATTATTCAGGAGTTTTTTGCCTTTGCAGAAACCTAACAGTATTGTAAAATGCATTGTCATTGTAAGAGCATTCTCTAGTTTAAAGGGAATATACACATTATTTCTGCAACACACTTCCTCCTCCTCTTCTTCTGGTGGATGCCATGTGGCAGATGGCACACATTCAGACCGGTTGTCATAACTGAACAGCTGACTTCTGGTATGTTTGCGCTTGTGATCCCCTATTTGTCATGTATCCAAATACGAGAACACGTAAAATGCTTAATTTGATGGCATCAATATATGATAAGATAAGTTAAGATGGACCTTTATTAAACAACAGGGTAAGGGTGAAAAAGCAGGATAGCACAGATTCACACAGATTAATCAAATCAAAAATAAGATCAAAGATACAAAATAAAAATAATAATAATAATAATGAGAAACTATGAAATAAGAAAGGAATTGGGTCTTATAAACTATGAATGAAAATGAAAATGGACATATATACAAATTGGGTCATATATACATATTACATATTATATTAACATGGGTGTGTGGAAACAGTGTGAATTTATGTCCAGCGATGATGTTACTCAGAGTGCTGTCACACCTCCCACACCAGATATGTACATTTAAGTCATCACATAAACTTGTACATAGTCCAGATGCGATCAAGCTTAGACAGCCATAAATCAATGTAAAGTCGAGAAAAGCATTGCAGACAATGATTTAAAGTTATAGTTAACCCCAAACTGATCCTTCATAAATCGTTTACTCACATGCAACCTTGAACTCTTGAAATGTCTTAAATAATTTAAGTAAATGGGGGCCGTGTTCAACAAAAGCCAAACTATATCAAAACATTGGTTTACATCTCTCACACACGATTCTGAGTATAATCCAAGTCTTATTTATCAAGTTGTAAAGTCTCAAGCTTGCAAGAGCACTATTTGTGTACTGATATGCACTTTGGACAAATCATTTCCCATATCCTTCCTCCTGTCATGCCTTCCTGCATTCACTGTCTGCTCCAGGTGTGATGGGGGTGTTGATGCCTCGAGACCCTCTTTAATTGTTATTCCATTCTTCTTAACATACTTACTATAGCATTAGCATACTTTGCCAAACAGCTATACTGAAGACACAATGATGCGATGCATTTAGAGATAATCCTCACATCACATACAGATTAACTGCAGCCAGACAAGCTGCATAAAATCAATTTTCAGGCCAAGTGTGAATGATAATAACCATCAAAGATGACATTGAGTGGAAAGCAGGCAGACAACTGTAACCTTAACTGCAACAAAAAAAGCCGTATCACTGTTAGGTAACGTGGAGAAAAACAACATGAGGGAGAGCCAAAACCTCTTCTCCCTGTTGTCATTTGGTCGAGCTGCCAGCCTGGCTCTACTCAGCGTCTGCCAACCCCGGCGTATGGCAAACACACACTCACATACACACACACAATCTCAGGCATGTACACACTAAGTATGTCTGGTTCAGGGGTGTTGGAATCTGGCAGGCGGCTCACATTGTCTGAATGTCACATCTTTATGTATGAATGCGGTGTATTTACACACACAGGCATGGCTACACTCGCAAATGCAGATTTGCAAATATATAAAGACACACACACACACACACACACACACACAGCTACACATGCATGCACAATCACAAACAGGCGCTCAGAGAGGCAGCAGCTGTCTTCCACTGCCTGCATCCACAAACAACTTGACATTCAAATCAAACATTCAAGTCTTTTGATTGATATGTATTTCAGGATAGTTTGTCCTTACTTGAAAATAAATACACTGCCAAACAGCTGCAGTCTTTTTTTCTGTTTATCCGGGCTTTGGCTATTTTTTTTTTTTTACATAGAATCGGAGAGATGAACCCCTCTTTAATGGTCACACATGCAGAGCACACAGCACACACAGTGAAATGTGTTATCTGCATTTAACCCATCCTAGTACCAGGAGTCTACTAGGAGCAGTGGGCAGCTATTGTACAGCACCCGGGGAGCAAGAGGGGTGTCCGGTGCCTTGCTCAAGGGCACCACGGCAGGGCCCAGGAGGTGAACTGGGACCTCTCCAAGTAGCAGTCCACACTCCATATTTAGGTCTGTTCGGGGATTGAACCGGCGACCCTACAGCTCCCAGTCCAAGCCCCTACTGACTGAGCCACTGCCGGACTGCTCATTTATCTTCAATTAGTAAGCAGTTAGCCTAAGTTATAGCTTGTAGCTCTGCTGGATATATAGTGCACAATATAAAACACATAAAATGCACAATACTTTATATACTTGTGTGTTTTCAAGTGGCAGTTTCATTATAAATTGCCACTTACGATTTGAAGCCTTAAGCTACTAAGTGCAAAGGGAAGAAGAGAGTGAGTGGGAGCTAAAGTTTGAGAAAAGTGCAGGGCTCTTTTCACATTCAAGTGCTTAAGTGATCACTGCTCTGAAGGTCTTTTGAATATCCAGCTTTTTAAGATGGTGTTTTGTCAGAATATCTGGTGTTTTTCAGATACATTTGAAAGCCTTCTTTATACTGGCTGTGAAAGCAGAAAAACAGCCCATTCTGAAACGAAGAGCTCAGTGTCATTTCATACCAAAATCCAAAGCTGTTAAAAGTTACTGCTGCATCTTAATGGTTGGACGCTTTTTGAGCAATTCAGGCTCATTCACAAGAGGCTCAAATTGTGACTAAACCACTGCAATGTTTTTTTGAGGTTTTGATGTCTGGCTGCACAGCAATTTTTGCACTAACAGGGAGAGGGACTGCTAACAACATGTGCATCTTCATTAGAATCATGCGCTTATTTGATACAGTGCACGTTCCTATAGCTATAGACAAACATATTTGAGTCTTTTGTTTTCTATTTAAATGTTATTTACCTATCATTTTCCATTTAAGTTTTGTATATATTATTATATATATTAACTTGTGCATGGTCTTTGTGTGTGTGTTTTTTGCAGTATGACCCAGAGAATTCAGGCTTCATCAGCACAGAGCGCTTCAGAGACCTGTTGGCGACCCACGGCTCTGAGCTTGACCCCCACAAACTGGAAGTCCTATTGGCCCTCGCCGATGGCAACGCCGACGGAAAGATCTGCTACCAAGACTTTGTGAACCTGGTAAGATGTTTGAACCTTTTATAGGCTTCCTGACATCAGTGTTCAGTGGAAATCAATGGTTTATTGGTACCTCTTACTGTACAACATGTAATAACCTCTATGTTTGGATTTAAGGGGGGACCCTTATCAAAAAGGTTTAATTTTGATAAGGTGATGAAACATCTAATGGAAAAGCCACAAGTCCTTAGATCAACTGCAATATGACATATGCATAAATAATCCTCTATTGGTTTAGCCAATAGAGGAATATGTATGCATATATAACATTAAATATTCCTTTAATTGCTAAACCCTAACTCCATAAGCGTTTCACAAAGATTCAGTCAAGATTTTATTTCCTTTACACACAAAACTAAAATAGTTATGGAAAATATATGATGTGAAGTTAATGCTTATTATTTGCTCCATCATAGTGTCATAGTGTGTTAATGCCGGTTATCTGTGTTCATTTGTAGATAGGTCATATATATCCCTCACCTGTTGTCAAAGGCCATACCCAATGATATCTGAAATTTCGCATTCAACTTTAAGGTCTTTAAAGAATGTTACTGTGACCCATAAAAACACACCACGAAAACATCTACTCATTTTGCCTTTAAATGTTCTGAAAAGTATTACAATTAATAAATATAAACTTCCAGGGCTAAGAGCAGTAACGTATTTCCCTGCTCTAAAGGCATTGGAATTGTTCAAGGGTATAATGACTTGTGAGAGACTGGAAACACAAAGTCTAGGATTTTGTTGACTCAGGAACTCATAGCCAATAACTTATTTGTGACTTGCAAAGAAATGTTTGTTTCCAAAACATTATAGTCTATTTTTCACACATCAAGCCTTTTTTCCATGTTAACATCAAGCCCCAAAGGCAATATTCCAATATCACCTCAACAGTAAGGTGGAGAATCCTTCCAAAAGTAAACAAGTCTGTCGGGTGATACATTCCCCTCTCAACGCTCACCTTGCCCCACTCTTAGTTTCACCTTCAAACTGCAGCATGCTGCTGTTTGTTCAAGGTCTCACTCAAGCATCTCCAGCTGTGCTTGCTGCCCCATAACCTTCTCATTTTCTGTTTTCCGCTATCTCGCTGCTCTTCCTCATGGGAGGCTTAACTACTGACCCGGGACAGTGTGGAGTGATCTCAGAGTGGGAGTAGTGGGTGGTACACACTACACAATAACTACTGGGTGGCAGTGGGTGTGTGCGTGCGTCTGCAGAGCCTGTAGGGAATTCATTGTTGTCTGAGTGTGAGTTTGTCCATCTCTTGTTCCTCAGAGCGGTTTATTGTCTGATACAGTGGGTGAGGAATGAGGCCCGTAGGAAGCTTGGAAAAATTTCAAATGGATGTCTGCTGCTGGTTTCCAATTGGTGCTTTAATGTCATGTGACAAGCTGTTGGTCACGCACGGCGTGCAAGTGGAAGTGGGACAGAGAGCAATGGGGTGTTAGCGTCTGTGTGTACATTCGCTTTTTACATAATCGCTATTGTGTACACCCCCCTCAAAAGATTATACATTAACAGAGGCAGATACAACTAAAGCTAAACACAGGGAGGGGGGGTGTATTCATGATTATGGTAATAGGCTGTGCAATGAATGGGGTGTTGAAAGAATTATTTTTGTTAGTTAGATTATTTTTTTTTATCATTTATCAAACAAAATTGCCATTTGCTTTTTCAGATTGTAATTTTATTTACATACTGTAATTGTCAATATTTTGGATCTTAAACTTTTGGTTGGAAACATAAGTGACATCATTATAATAATAAATACTTTAAATAAATAACAAAATAGTACGAAACTCTTTGCTTCTAAAATATAAGTATAAACTGCCTTTTTTTTTTAAACATTTTCATGAGTTGGTCAGACCAAAGAAGTAATTCTAACACATTACCTTGGGTCCTTTACATTTTATTACAGGTATATCTTTACTTTCTTGACATTTACAGACCGAGCCAATAGAATAGATGAGTCCTATATTGACTCAAATTAAAGGTTAAAGGCTAAACTGTACAACCAGCAAAAATATAACTGAAGTCTATGCACTCAAAGTAAGAGACTCTGTGTTTCAGGAGACACTTATTCAAGGTTAAGTGTTCGGTCTTATCTACAAGGATTTCAGCCTTTTTCTGAATCCACACTTTTGTGAAAAAAGCTTGTTAATATGATATCAATAACTCAAGGTATGTAAATATGATATGATGAACCTTCGAAGGAGCAGGCATTAATGGCTTCTAAGATAAAGATCAAAGGGGTCAAAGCATATCAGTACTTGAGCGAGAGTTATAATTATTTTAATAATAATCTAATTGTCAGTGCCTGGTTTCTGTTGGTACATCTCTATCTCTCCAGCTCTGCTGCCTTCACAGAAGGAGAGAAGGAGAATAGAAGGACAGACAGAGACGAACTGTGAGGGTTTATTTGATGCGCCATTTCCCCTATATACCCCAGCTCTTCCATCAATGTGATTGTCAGTAATTGCGTGCTCACTGCTTCGTCACAGTCAGCGTTCAAATCACCGCTCACTCCCTGTCTTTACTTCCTCCCCCCTTCATCTTCTCTCACTCTTTACCTTCTCCCTCAGCCTCTCCTTCTCGTCTTCTTCCTTATCAATGCCTTCCTTCTTCTTCTTTCTGTCCATCCATCTTCTCCTGTCTGACTCTTTCTCATAAACCACACTGCGGCTGTTCTGTGAAGAAGCTGGCTCAGTAATATGTTTATACTTCCTAAAATATCTACAAACAGCTTTGAACTGCTACATTTTTTTACCTGTGGGATGAAATTGTGGGATGATTTAGATGCTGGTGTTTACAGATGCACTCATGTATATCCTGTGTGTATGCCTGATTGTGTTTTAGATACACTATGTTGACAATCCTCCTATATATACTCCTATGTTATAAAGAAGGGAAACCTAACGGTACGTCCACACTGCAGCGTCGCGTTGAAGCGTGCCGGTAGGCGTGTCTGGTGCGCGACCAACAACCAATCACATGAATCTCCCGCCCTGGACACACAAGCACGCGGTTTGATTGGCTAGGGCTTGTACTGGCATATGATTTGATTGGCTAGCGCTTCCGTCGACGCTTGAAAAGTTGAACTTTTCTCAACTTTCAAAGCGAGCAACGGAGGCAAAGCGACGCGACGGAACCACAATGCAGTTCGGCAAAGCGTGACGTCTCCGTTGGACGTACCGTAAGGCTACAGCACACAATGATTTCATATTTAATTATTAGACAAAAGTTCCACGTTTGTGGCAACAGGTTGGATGGTTTCTCATGTCAACTCTCTAATGAAGGCAGAAGATGCCAAATAATCTTTTTTTTTTAAAACAAAAATAATACACCAATGTCTGGGATGTCACTGTTTTTCACTGTACAGTGAGTGCTGTGTTTTTTGCTGGATCAATTTCTTTAAAGAGTTCTTATACTGGAAACCTTTGATGCATTTCACTGTGTTAAATAAAATGAAACAAAAACATTTTATCAATCCCTCTTTCCTGGCCTTCTTACGTTCCCCCAACTTCCTTTTTTCATCTGTTCATCTTCCCTGTCCCTCTCCTCTGACTCTGCCTTCTATTGATAAAACAGTGAAATTGTCTATTGCTGGCCGAACTCCCATTTGTCCCCTTCACCTCTTTCCTTTCCCTCTCCTCTTGCCAGTGGGCAAACAGACAGAACGTCATTCTCTCTTTTGTGTCGTACAAAGACGAGAGGAATTGTAGTCACTTCACACGAAGAATTGACTGTCTTTATGGAGCATGCCTGCCTGGGGGAAAGTGTGTGTGTGTGTGTGTGTGTGTGTGTGTGTGTGTGTGTGTGTGTGTGTGTGTGTGTGTGTGTGTGTGTGTGTGTGTGTGTGTGTGTGTGTGTGTGTGTGTGTGTGTGTGTGTGTGTGTGTGTGTGTGTGTGTGTGTGTGTGTGTGTGTGTGTGTGGCCAGAAGCACCATCAGCCTGCGGTGCATACAGAGATTTTATTGATATTCTGATTTTGCATCTGTCATCTTATCGCTGTTTCTCGCCTTACTATGTTTGCTTCTCCTATTGTTTGCAACGTGTTCACAGATAAGTATGTCCACTATCTTCAAACTGAAATGTTCCTTATTTCTCTGATAAGTTAGTGCTTGTACCTGAATAAACATCAATCACTGCCTCAGATGACACTTCAACGTTGTAGCTTTTGAAGTCAAGGTAGTTACGATACAATAATAGTTATTGTCAGATGGAGTCTGACATTTTTCTTGCATCTCGGCAGCTCCTTTTGCAACATCAATAAGGACAAATATTTTAAAAAAGATACATGGAAACAGACATTTAACATAACATCACATCACTGAAGAGAAACACGCTCAAGACATTCTATCGTACGTTTGACCTGGGATTTGACTTTGTATTTAATTTGAGGATTGACTGGTGCACAAATGAAAACTTCAGTCTGACCTTATTAAATCATAATATTATCAATCATCATTCTTATTTGACTTTTATTAATGATTATTAAAGTAATCTATCTTGCAAATCTCTGCCCTTGCTTAAAACCATATCACTCACTTATGCTGCCTTAAATAACACCAGCTTACATCTGTAATATTAGAGACTCAAACACAGTAGCAGGTTTGAGTTATGGAGTGTGACATAAACAGAGCGGAGTGAGGAAGAGACTGTAGGAGTGAAGTGGGACAGATGTCTTGCATCGTCATGGAGAATGTAATAAAACACACAGCAAGTGTAATAAAATGCACAAAGCTTGGAGACAGCAGTGATTTAGTAACAAAGCTATGGCTGCGTCCGAAGAGATTAACAAGAATCAGTTTCACATTTATGCAAAGAAATGCTAAATGTTTTACCACTGCTTTTTAGATCTTTTAACTTAATATTTTAAATGACAAATTATATTCATTCATGATAGCATGCGAGGTTGTTTATTATAATGAATACAAGTAGTATTTTGCATTTCCATTGCTCCCTCTATGAATATGCTTCTTCTCGAATAATAATACCCACGTTTGTTTATATAATGTAAAAAAATGTGCAGCATTGTTGTCACATATTCTCACTTTTTACCTGCTTGTGATACTGTCACTGAATTGTTGCCATTCAAAGAATAACTGTTTAAAATTGGCACTAAAAAAGCTTTATATGATAAAGCTTGTGATCGTTCTTTAGTTGTAGACGTTGCACTCAGATGAGATGTTCACTTTCCACTCATTGCTTGCGGTGAGGAATAAATGCACATGCTCTCGTAATTTCTGCCTCTAAATGTCAAGGACATTTTTCTGCCATTTAAAAATAGACTCTCTATCTGAACTATACATTTGGTCCAAGGAGGTCAAGGAATAATTAGAACATGAGATTCAGAAGAGGAAAAACATCCCTAAAATCATCTCTGTGGTCACTATTGTGTGTTAGGCCTGTGTGTTTTCAACAAAAAATCTGTGCATCTGTGTACCTACCTATGGAGGTGCATTAAGTGTAAGCGATTTTGAAAATAAGAAGCCCAGAAGTTGTAAAATCTGAAACCTGTGCTATAAACCTGATTGCTCCAAATTAAAAAAGATGGTACCGCTCAGAAAACACATTTTGTTTCTGAGTGATGAACTTCTTCCCGCTCCTCAAGAATGGACATATGTATGCTTTGAAATAAACTCTATGACGGAGAGGGATTAAGAGAGGGGTTTGGTGGTTGCTAGGTGATGTGACAGGCATTCTGTTGCCATGGCAGGCTCCGTCACAGTGCTGATTTGTGCGTGAAGCCTGCACCCAGAGTGTGTTGACACTCCAGCTGTACATCGAGTCGTTTGGCAATATATTTCACACAAAAAAGTACCTCAAAGTGTTTACATGATAAATAAGGCAGGATGATCATCGATTTAAAAACATGCTCAACCACTGATGAGAAAATCTCTCATTGTCTCCTCTTTCTTCCTACATCTCTTTTTCAGCCATTAAACACTGTCTACTGTTTATATTTCCCCCCCTTTCTCCAGATGAGTAACAAGCGCTCCAACAGTTTCCGGAGGGCCATCCTGCAGGGGAGCCGGCAGCTGAAGGGCTGCAGTCTCAGAGATGAGGCGGGGCTGGGTCTGTCTCAGCGTCTGGTCCGACACGTCGCCTACGAGACGCTGCCCCGAGAGGTCGACCGCAAGTGGTACTTTGACAGCTACACCTACTGTCCCCCACCCTGGCTCATCCTTGCTATCACCATTGCTGAGGTAAATAGTTTAGCAGGTTAAGACCAATATGTGTTCTTTAAGATCTCTTATTAAAGGTACGTGAGATTAATTTGACAACTTTTGGCATTATGAAGCCATTTTTTAAAGAGCCAGCCCATACACAAGGGGTAACATGTACACAGAGTTAACAGTTCTTTCAACTGTATGCATACCGTACAACACAAAACAATTGAATTATGTCATTAGTTTAAAAAAAATATATGAATTATAAGACCTCTGTTCCGAGCACATCCAGAAGTATAGCATTTACTAGCAAAAGTCAGGGAAGCAGCTAGCCAATGTAAATACATGTATGGATGATGGCAATGCAAGAATGGACACATCATGTTTCAAAACAATAAGTTACATTAAACAAGTAATAACTTGACTAAATCATACCTAAAGTCTCGCATGATAAGCTGCAATTCTCTGCATATTGCAGATTCTTACAATTCATTATGTGCAATATATACATTTTCATCATCTCTTTTTAAATGTTTGTCATAGCATTATTTGTTCATAATAACACATTACCTACAAAACAATCGTGATATATAATTTGCTCTTAGAAAATTGATAATAGCTTTGTTGATGCCAATTTTAGTTCTAATATCATTTGGGTGTTTGGGTTCAACTTTCATATAATCCCGAAAGCACTTTGGTCTTCTTTAAGATGTTGAGCATTATTTCTTATGTGTTGTATAGTGTGTAGACTGCTACCACTCCTCCTAAAGTCACACACTATCCACCTGTGTTCCTCAGGTAGCCGTGTTCATGTACTATGGCTTCCAGCTGGACCGCCTGGTGCTGCAGGTGTCCAGCCCGTCCTTCCTGAAGAGCCCCTTACCGTACCACCCCCAGCTGCGAGCGCAGGCCTGGAGGTACCTCACCTACATTTTCATGCACACTGGGTGAGTTCACATGTCTCTATTTTCATGTACTGTATTATCTCAAGAAAGAAATGCCACAATAACACATTTTTTATTTCTTAAATTGTTCACCTCATGTCATGTGATCAGGGGAGCGCGTGTGAGACAATGGGGAAATAACATATTGATAGTTTAACACAAACCTAACTTTCATGCTCTGGTGGTTTTTGTTTATTGCATTTAAACATTCAGGGAGTGACAGCTTGTTGCATAATGATAACAAACAAAACAACAGAAATACACAGTGCTATTTATTTCCAGCGAAACACACCATATAAAAGCAATTAAATCCTGTTCAGTTATGAAGGTAAAATGCAGATGAGGGATTGTGACTTGTTAATGAGTCTTTGGATGCATTTTGTAAAACTTGATTAATTCACTATGAGCAAAGTTACACAACAAATAAGCAAGTGACAAAAATACTTAAAGTATTATGTTTTAAAAACAAGCATTATTTAATTATTGGAACAATGTGTATACAGTATATCACAATACTGCTGTCATTTCTGAGTGTGGAGAACATTTATCACTATCATTTTATTAAAACCATCACGATACTTCCTTTTCTCTTCTCTTGGGGAGCTGATTCTTAATTTCTAGAGCTTTTTGATTGTTTACTGGTTGTGTGTTTTCAGTTTTTTTTTCTTTCTGTTTGTTGTTCTCTTCCCTCAAGTGAAGAGGTAAAAGTGGTATGCTGAAAGTGCAATATAAAAGGGACTTTAAAAACCTCTCCTCTCCTCTCCTCTCCTCTCCTCTTCCACTACAAGCACCAGCCTATTTTATTACCCAGGCAGGTCATCCAGGTTTAATTAACCTTCTGGGTAAATGTAGTCTCAGGCAATAGTGAGAACTAATAAAATGGTAATTTAATTAGGAGAACGTGGTAGGTGCCAGGGAGAGACGGTAGGGATGACGGTGTGTGATAGGATGAGACAGAGGGGATGAATATTAGGATAAAAGGAGGGAGGTGGTGTGTTTAACGTGCACTAATTACACAGGAACATATCGAAATGTTTTAGGTACTCAAGGGAAGAGGCTTATAAAAGAGCTTTTGGGAATTCATTTGTGTCTACCAATGTGTCCAATTTCAGTATGTGGTGTTGTACGATGTTGTCTGAAGACAGCATAGATGGATATTGCTACTTCAGCTCCCATCTGAAAAGGGCTGTCCTGCGGCGAGGTAAAGCGGTGACAATATTCTGAAGATAGGGTTCACTAAAACTGGTATAGATTTTTTTAGGTGGGCCTTTCTTTCTAGGTGGCATAAATATGTTTGGCTGCTTCCCCCCGTTTACAGCAGTTCATTGTTTTGCCCCCCTGCTGGTACTCCTGTCTGTTTCTCCAAACTGGGGGCGTGCTGACCGACATGTACTGTTGCCAATACACTGACAATGGATAAGTACCTCATAAAACCCCACTTCAAACTATTAAAACTAAACTAATTTGGTCTAGCAGATTTTGTAGATGCGTGTTTCAAAAGGGTGATTGGGTTTTAATGCACACAACTTCTGAAATATGCGTAGCTCAACAAAAAAAACACTTTAAATAATTCAGTGAGTATAAACATTTAATTACTGGTTTAGATTTGATCTTTTGGGGTAGAGCAACATTACTTGTTGTTTTGCTGGTCGACTAAACCATTTCAGCTAATTTGCTGATGCTGATCTGGTTTCCAATGGGACCTTCATTAGAAGGCACATCAAGACACATTTTTTAATGTCTCGTAAAAAAATCCCTATTTGGAGAGATGGTGAGCATGGAGCTTCATAACGCCAGCCTACCTGTTGCTGAAGGTGCTGTGTTAGTTAATGTGTGTCACACAAACAGCATAAAGAAAGTACCCCACTTCCTGTTACATACTAGGAAAAAATATCATTGACTTATCCTCCAATTTCATATGTTCTAGGTTATGGAGGCAAAGTTACCCAAAATAGCTATGTTTATGTTTATATGTGGCAGTGATAAAATAACCTTTAGCATAGGTCAAGGAGATAAATAAAAAGCATGACACGATGTTTACACACACATACACACTGTCTTTCTCTCACACACATCTACAAACCATGTAATCCTATCAACGGCTCAGAATGACTGATCCTTCCCAATTCTCAACACTAAAACAGAGTGTAAATATTGGCCCCGAAACATCCCTCAGCTACGCATTATGCAGACTCTCTGTCGTTTAAAAAAAAATGTTTAACCTCTTTCTCATTCTGTGTCACAGACACAACAACTGTGTGTCAGTAGCAGCTGCAAAACATTCAGGAAGATATTTCGATATTCAAACCATGACTCTAAACATTTTCTAGCAAAAATGTTCTTTCCAGAAGCAGGTAAGTTTGTCCTACTTCTTTGTAGCTGCGAAAAGTGTGGCCTATAATCATACATTATACTCCATTAGTACAATCTAAAATCAGGTTTCTTTTGAGGGAACTCAAAACTGTCTCAGTTTGATGCCGTTTGGACTTAAAAAAAAGTGTCCCTGAGATCAGCTCTTGAATTGTGCAGTGAACTCAACTAATTGTAAAAGTTCAGCTGTAGTTTGGAGCTGGGGATAAAAAAAAAGAAGGAAAAAAGATAAAACAGCGCCTTTGTCGAGCGCACTGAAAGACACCATGGTCATCTGGACACAATAGGATCTCTCATGGGTGTCCACAGATCTGCCTGACAGTGCAGCCCATCCCTCACAGCCTCATTAGCAGTATAGAAATAGATAGCGTCTGTTGTGTGGAGTGGAGTTGTCCTTGTGCATTTGGACAGGCCTCTCCCAGTTAATCAATATCCCTTATTGTCTCTCTGATCACTGGAACGATCCTCTCTGTCGGCTCTGTAGAAGAAGTGGCTGGGTTGTTTTAAACTAAATCTGTCTGTTGAATGAATGCACAGTCAGGACACACAGCGTTCATCGGTTCTGTTTGTTAAATTGACAAACGAGTAGAGAGTCATCTCTCTTTCTACCACTTTCATTCTGTCATCTCTCTCTCTTTGCGCAATGTGAAATAGAAATGACACTATAATTGGGACTGAGGCAGTAAACAGAGGAGAGCAGTGATTGAAGCGAGTGAGAGACAATGAGGAAGATTATGAGAGGGAGGGGAAAGGATTATTCTGTGACACCCGAATGTGTCTGGGGACATTTTAGCAGCCACACACCTCTTTTTATAGTGTGTGTGTGTGTGTGTGTGTGTGTGTGTGTGTGTGTGTGTGTGTGTGTGTGTGTGTGTGTGTGTGTGTGTGTGTGTGTGTGTGTGTGTGTGTGTGTGTGTGTGTGTGTGTGTGTGTGTGTGTGTGTGTGTGTGTGTGAGCAGGCATAATAATATGGTAACGATACACTCTTACGCTCAATCTAAACCAGACGGATACAACGTTATCTGTGGCAAACTATATGCTTATAGATTTCCTCTAATATTGCTTCAGTTGTTTGTTTTATTAAACGTGTGCCAATCATCTGGGTTACCCTTTTCTCTTTCCGTTTTCTGTTCATGTCTGCAGTATTTATAATTTGAAATGGTTTTTTTCTTCATCATTTTCTGCCATTCACCCTTGCACAGTGTGTAAAAATAACTCCCATTGCATTAACCATAAACCCAGATTTAGATTTGATCACAGTTCATGTTTTATCACTGTCTGGTGCCAGAGTTGAGTGTGTTTCCTGTCTATCATCTAACACCTCACCCACATGAGGAATCAGAAGCATGTTGTCTGTTCAGAGCTTATACACACATCCATGTCTTTAGATTTTGACCATTCTACTAACAGGGGAAATAAGTTATTTTCAAGCTGATTGTCATTGCAAGAATGTGTACAAATCTAAATAAGTGCAGTATAGTCAGTAGGATTATGAAAGAAATAGACAAAATTACATGGTGAGTATTGGCAGTTTTCTTTTGCAGTGTTTAGAATCTACAATGAAACATTTTCTTTGCAATTTAGTTGTAAATGTTCATCGTCAATAACAGCAGACACACACAAATAAACATGTTATCCTGGCAACAGCTCAGCAGAGCCTCCGAATCTTCAAACCAATAGAGAGTGTACATATTTACTGTAGCAACGCGCCAATGACTCTGTCTTTTCTTTTTTGTATATATACTTGTATCAAATAATACCTTTGGCAATGCATACACAGGACAAAGTAATGCTGATTCAATGTGATTTCTCAAAACACAATGAACTACGCTCTATGGGTACTTTTTTCACTCTCCTGAGATACATTAATTGGTATCATTTACTAAATGAAAGTGTTTTTTACTTTATTTCAGACCCTTTTAGCCCTTGGAGGTAAATAAGAATACTAAATGGATCAACAACTAATACCAAATGACCATAACTACCAATATCAGTTTGCTTTCTATCATTGCATTTCTGTTGTTATTGTGGCCATATTTTCTTGAGATGTATGATTAAATATGGATTTAATAGTGTGTGTGTGTGTGTGTGTGTGTGTGTGTTTTACAGAATTGAGCACCTGAGCCTGAACATGGCCATGCAGCTGCTGGTGGGAGTCCCTCTAGAAATGGTCCACGGAGCCCTGCGGATTGGACTGGTCTACGTGTGTGGTGTGCTGGCAGGTGGGCCTGTCCTCTCACACACACATGCAACAATTACAATCCCACTTATGCCGACATTTTCCTGCCTTTTATCTACACACTCACTCTACCCCAGAGACAAAACAAACACACACTATAGAGTTTAGCCTTTCCACTGCACCGTTGTTCCATCTGCTTGTTGTATGTTTTTCGTGAATTGAACGGCCTATCAAGTTGCAGACGGTCTGTTGGTGGACACTGGTCAATGAGAACATTTTGAGAGTGTGAGTGTGTGTGCGTGGGGTGTTCAGGATCAGGGCAGATGGCCTTGTGTTTCTGTTTTCATGGCAGACGTGCTGGGATGTAGGGGGTTGTCAGTGCCCCATCAAAGCCTTTTCATCCCCCTACGGTCATGTACAATAGGGCAGAGCAGAGAGAGTGAAATCTCAAATGGAGCCCAATCATAAGAACACAATCAGGAGAACACACAAGCACACACACATGGTATTAGTGAAATAGCAGGGTCAGTGTGAAATGTAGGGATGAAGAGGAGGAAGAGACGGAGGAGGGGAGATGGATTCATAAGTGTTAATAAGCCTGAGAGGGTTTGGAGAGGGGGACCAGGATATGAGAAAACGTGGGGATGGGAGAGAAGTGGAAGTGGGTGAGATTAGGGAGTAACAGAGCGAGCAACTGCATATGTGAAAGAGAAGCAAGCACACAGCGAAATGTCACTTCTCCATTCCTACTTCCCTATCAACCTCAGGCACTGGGGCAATATCAGGATTGAGCCTATAGTTCAGCAGAGAGTATGTAAGCTCTGATTTTCTTTACTGAAGAAGTACAAACAACAGTCATCCACTCCACCATGTATTTGTTTCATTCACCCCATAACAAATATTGTAGGAATAAAAAATAAAAATAAAGTATTTGGTTCCCAGGGATGACACTATCAGCTTTGAGGTTACTGGAGTGGAATCATTGGGATACTTTTTGAAATCAGTGTTTTCAGCCGAAATCGTGAAGCCTTGTGGCAGTGAGTAGGTGATGTGGTACTGATGTCAGGGGACAGGAGAGAGGATTGTGGAATATTAATTGCAGATAGTGAGATTTTATATAAATATTCATGAAAATGATGTGTCTATTTCTCTCTCTCCATGTCTGATTGTCCGTTTGTGTGTCTCTCTCTCTCTCTGTGTGTGTGTGTGTGTGTGTGTGTGTGTGTGTGTGTGTGTGTGTGTGTGTGTGTGTGTGTGTGTGTGTGTGTGTGTGTGTGTGTGTGTGTGTGTGTGTGTGTGTGTGTGTGTGTGTGTGTGTGTGTGTGTGTGTGTGTGTGTGTGTGTGTGTGTGTGTGTGTGTGTGTGTGTGTGTTGGGGTCAGTGACAAACACCCTGGGGATACCAGCTGTGGTGGCCTGTAGCATTAACCTCCCTTTGAAAAGAGGAGGAAACACACACACACACACACACACACACACACACACACACACACACACACACATGTCTGCTGTTTTAATTAGATATCGACCACCCGCAGAAAGGGGGGAGCACGCTCTGGTTGCGTTTGGCGGTGATGTTTTTGGTTGTTTTGTCTGACTGGGATTTTCTAGATAGATAGATAGATATAGATAGATAGATAGACAGATAGATAGATAGATAGATAGATAGATAGATAGATAGATAGATAGATAGATAGATAGATAGATAGATAGATAACAAAAAAAATTGAAAATAACAATAGAAACAATAAACAGCAGCAAGTCTATGTACTGTACATATCAACAGTATAAAAGACATGAACCACAAGAATACTCAATATAAAATGTTCTAGATAATTTAGATAATTGTATTTTTATTTTAGCAGCATAAGAACTCTAGACTGAGCCCCAATTATCAGCTGTAAATTGATATATTGTGCATATGTGTGTCACAGGTTTTCAATAACCAAATTGAGAGATCAATGACAAAAGTGTTTGTTAAATAATCCATATCAGTTTCCACACACACATGTTTTTCTTTGTATATATAAGTATTTTTGCCCTCGAACAACTCACAGAAAAGAGTGTGTATGTGTGTGTCTGTGTGTACATTAGTATAGGATCACCGATCATCCATACTTACTGCTTAATCTATATGCATTTTTAAATATTAGACGTTAACAATTGGTCAAATACAAATCTCATCTTAACATTTGCTGCACAGTGATACTTCCAGATTGTGTGAAGAAGCACAAAAAGCAAAAGTGAACAGAGGGGGGCTCAGCTGGCACACACAGAGGTCAAAACAGAGTTCAGAGGTCAAGTAATGACTCCGAGAGGGGTCGATGGCCCTCTGGGGCCAACACAAACTCTGATACTTTAATGGAAACAATGGACTTTGCTTGTAAACACAAATAACTTATTTATGGACAATGAACAAATATGTAGACACAAAAAACAGAGATCTGCCTGTACGAAGAGCAGAAGACAGATGCAGCAACAAGTGTATCATCAGAGGATTAGGCAATTAGGCACAACACAGACGTGTAGACAAGAAAGTAAACAAAAGACACAAAGGGAAGTCAAAGTCAGGCAACGAATCTCCGACTAAACTCATTGTACGACTTTGTAGAGTCAGTCAACTCAACACGCAACCAAACTGTTGACTGTTATCATTATGAATGCTGATCTGTATTATTATCACCCGTCATGCTACCGGTTCTTTCTCTGCAGTTAGGATGAACAGCAAAGATAAATGAGATGCCACTTCTCGACTCTAAAAACTGCACGCCTCCTGGGGCCTGCTGAGGGACAATGAGAGACTGTGTCCTTGTCTTTGTGTGTGTTTGTGTGCACATGCAACCACAACTAAAATAATGTTATCAAGCAAAGTTAATTACAGGGATGGAGGTCATCCTGCCAAGGCACACTTCCTAAACACAGGAACTACAGAGGTGGAGGTGTCTTGAACCAGGTGTTTGGGGGTGTGGGTGCTGAGGAAGGAAGAAATGTAGAGTACTTAAAAAAGGGTGTAACCTAGGGAGTGGTATCCTTTGTGCATATTACAACTCAAATGTATTTATGGGGGTCATAATTCAAATGTTTGTTTCATTACCGCCACCATGGAGGTTATGTTTTTGGTTCGGTTTGTGAGTTTGTCAGCAGAATTAGAGAAAAACTGGCCCAATTTGCATTAAACTCTTATTTATGGAGCTGATCTCAATTTTGGGATGGACACACGCTTTATACTGTACTTTATACTACTAACAGGTCTTGTCTTGGAAAAATATTTTGTGATTAACTTTGAGAATCGATTTAACGTAGAATGGAAAGGATCCAAGCCCTTGCATGCCACAATTTGTCGTGGTAAAGAGAGGAATGTTTGTGGGTGTGTGTTTGAGGGTGTATTCACTCACCTAGATTACCCTGCAGTGTTAATTGAGCTCAGATGCTGGCATTATCACCTCGCTGGGCTGCCATTAGGTTTCATAAACCTGACCGGGACACATATTAGACAAAGAAGAAACTTCTATTTGGGGGCTAAATGTAACCTGCCCTTTGAAAAGTCCTTTTCTTTCACGTGTCACATATTTAATTCAAAACCAGCAAAATTATCACAGTGTTAAAAGGTTCTCTACTGTGTGTGGATAATTAAGCTCTTTTGATTGACCAACAGTACCACATCGGGAACCATTGTAATACACTAAGTATATCCTTAAAGGTCCCATGTCATGGCTATTTCTACTGATCATAATTCCATTGTTGAGGTATACTAAAATAGATTTATATTGTGCAATTTTCCAAACTCACATTGGTTTCTCATACAGCATCTCTGTATAGTATGTGTATTCACTCTCTGGGTGTTTCTCAATGTCGAGGAAAGCTGCTCCAGAGCCACTATTTCAAGCATACTACGTCATCGAGTGCCGCCGAGGGACTGTTCCAATGTCCAGCATACTTGGAATTGTACTGAGCCCGGCGTACTTCGTAGCGAGATATTTCGAGGCTGCACATGTGTAGACTCCGCGGTCTTAAAATGCCCACAATGCTTTGCGCACGGACCAATTTCCCCAAATCTGTGGCCGGAAAATGTAAGGCGGGGCCTCTCATATGACGCACACTTGCTCGCCTGTTCCACTCTTCGTTTTCCGAATACCAGGAAGGATTCTTGCCTAGCTTCTGAAGGAAGTGACTCGGAAGACATGTGCTACCAAGCAAGCGTCCTCGACATTGAGAAACACCCTCTATCCTAAACGGCTTGTTGGAGCTCCTGCCCCCCCCTCCCTATGAGCCCAGTGTGCTCTGATTGGTCAGCTCGCCCACTCTGTTCTGATGAGTCCACCACCGTTACAGCGGAACATCAGTGATTATGTGTTACAATGGCGTTAGCAACCAAAAAATGACACCAGTAATGACAAACAGATGAGAATGCTGCGTGGGGTCTGGGTGCCGTGTTGGCGGGACGTTGCGGGGCTCGCTGCTGGAGCGGACAGTGTGAGCTGGCTTGCTGCGGGGGATCTGCGAGACTGCGAGACACAGCGAAACCCAGCCTGAACCCAGCCCGAGCACACACACACACCTGCAGCCTGGACGAGCCCCGCCACGTCTCGCCGTCTCAGGCTGAGTTCAGGCTGAGTTCAGGCTGAGTTCAGGCTGAGTTCAGGCTGAGTTCAGGCTGAGTTCAGGCTGAGTTCAGGCTGAGAAATCCGCGGAGCTGCAGCTGAGAAAAGATTGAGTGTGTGTGTGTGAGGAAGTCGGAGACGTTACGTCACTATACCCAATACGTCACTGTACTTACTACACTATAAGAAGAAAACAATGGAAAAATAAAAATCTCCAACGAGGCGTTCTGGGGCAGCATAGACAGGTCTTTTCTGTGTTAGAGTTTTACTCGCTACAGGGTGTACTTTGAGGGTTTGTGACTCTGCAGACCGTTTACATGCATAAAAAGCTACATAACACACAAGGGGATGGTTAATAACCGGAAAAGCATGACATGGGACCTTTAAGACTATAACCCTAACATCAATATTATTAGGAGACATTTAAAGATGAAATAAATTCATGTTTTGTGGATTTTTTTAAAGGGTTTATAACATTTGCATTCAGTCAATGTGGAAATGCCTTTATGAACCTCTGCTTTTGTGAACCCCAGGATCAGTTTTCTTTCCAAAGTCACTGAATTCCCTCTGGACCGTCTGCTGTGTATCCCCATTCCTCATCTAGGAACATTGGCAAACAAATGCATGCAACTCATAATCTGTTTCCTACAGAATTATGCATTCTTTTTAGTGTTTGCAGTGCATTATTTTCGAAATACAATTCCGTAAAATGTAATATAAAAAGCTAAACTCTTTTAACGTACTGACAGAATGAGGCCACTTTAAGGATGCATGTATCAAGGGAATTCAGTTTTACTAATTTTTGTCAAATGTGTGGATGGTGTGCGTGAATGCAGTATACAGTATGTGTTTTGTTATTCTTTTCTCATCGGTATGATGTACTATACAGTATGAAATGCTATATATTTTCTTATGCTTGGCTATATAAACTAGTGCATTAGATGTGGTTCCTCGTTCATCAGTCCCATAAATAGCATCATGATTTAAATGCCATGGCTTATTCCATCATCCCTCTTTATGGTGATTTAACATCTATGAACTGCAGAGCCCTTTCTGTCTGTTATAATTATATACAGTTTGCCTGCTGTATAGTGTAGTATTGCGTACTCTGTGGTTGTGTGTGTGTGTGTGCGTGTGCGTGTGCGTGTGCGTGTGTACGTGTGTGAGAGAGACTAAACTAATCTTTGTGAAATGGAGCTAAATGTGGAGCATCTTCCAAACCACACAAAGGCATTAAATGCACAAAGTTACGAGGTCGGCTCCAGCTTAGTCGGATGATTTCACAGTTATAAGAGCGCAGAGCTGGGCTGGCTGCAAGTTATACACTTGAATATCTAAATTGAGGACATTTGGAGCCGTTTGTCAAAAAGTGGATCAAACTCTCACCAATAAGATATATGATACATACAACAAACTAACTTAATCAGCTTGCTCTAAAGCACCAGCCAGCAATGTCATTCTGATCCATAGCCTCAAGACTCAAGAAAATGAACATTGACAGTGGTGCCCCATTATGTATGTACATTTGAATATGCAGTATCTTGCATACATGCGTTGCAGCGTTTATGTGTTGTGCAAACCAACTGTATTTGAGAGAGAACGATAGAGTGGGAAGACCGTGGGTAGTTTTATCTCATACACTTAGCATCAATATTGTACAGAGGTCAGATCCATGGAGATATGGAAAGGAAAATATGTACAAGAGCATATGCACAGTAGAGAGAGAGAAGAAGAAAGAAAAAAAGCAAAGAGAAGGGACAAATTGAGAGAGTTTGTGATTGTGTCAATTAATAGTCCAACAAAACACATCCCTCTCCTTTGTTCTTTTATCTTTTCTCTTGCACACAAACTGCAGTGAGAACACATTTCCTCTTGTGACTCTGTCTCTGAATGTCGCCACATCCAAACTTTTGAATGCTTGATTGGGTCCTTTGTGCATGTGATGAATTGGTACCAAGGTGCTAAAGAGAGCAAGTTCTTGTTTGCGGAAGCCCACTTTGTTTGAATGCATTTGTTTTTACATAAAATCCAAGTGTGAGCTGGTACAGTGTGAGCAAGCCTCTTTTCATGAATAACTATTCAAAACACAACCACATTGAATAGTGAGAAGTTAACTGTCTTTATGTGTTACAAAATGTATGTTTTCAATTGGTAACAGATAGTACAAAAACTGTTTAAATTGGTCACTTAGTCAAAGTGACTGGCAGTACTGAGGGGAAAATAATGAACAAAAGTGAAAGGCCAGGCTTAAGATTGAAGCACAAGACACATTTCAAATATAGAGATAATGCACTTCATCATGTATTATTCTATTGCATTAGAGAACCAAAATACCCGACTGTCAGTGAAAACAAATCTAGTTCAGTTGAGTAAATATTCTCACCCCAAGCTCATATGCTGCTCTGGAGCTTTCGATTATATGACATATTCGTCATCATGCAAAGTCATCCAAAACATTCAGAACATTTCAAAGATGCTTTAATCATTATATTCATTTAAAAAAATGATTACTTGAGTATAGGCTCCTTGTTGTTTCTTCATAGTGGTGAACCCACAGAGAATCATCCCTGCACTTGCTTTCTTTAAGATGTTGATGACACAAGAATGCTTTTTATTGATTATTAACCAAAAGCTTGTTCCTTCCTCATCACTGCAGGGTCTCTGGCAGTGTCTGTCACCGATATGACGGCTCCTGTGGTCGGCTCATCTGGAGGAGTGTACGCTCTGGTCTCAGCACATTTGGCCAACGTAGTAATGGTAGGTTTTCAAGAATCAAGCTTTTGATTGTCACTCTGGTTATACAGTACATGTACAATGTGAGATGGTTTTGCTGGAAGGCCAAGACAAACGATAAAAAGTTAATATAAAAAAACATAAAATACATTGCATGTGTGTGTGTGTTTGTTGTGCGTGTGTTTGTGCGTGTGGATGGTTATCACATCACTCAGTCGCCCTGTCACACAGAGCTTTGCCACATCATCAGAGCATCAAAGCAGCCTGTTTTGGGGCCCAGCAGGTGCTGCTCTATCTACAGATGCCATACATTCCTCACCTTCACCATCAGTTCCTACTGCACTCTCTGACATCTGCTCTGTGTGGTCAAAACTGCCCATCCTGTGTGTCATATAAACACACTCAGGTGAACATCCATTATGTGTAATACGGTACTTATTTTGTAACCTGCTATATCTTCCACAACATTGTTGCCGTTTGCGAATATCCTTCTGCTGAAATCTTATTATCTAACAGGGCAAAAACAGATTGGGGGTCAGAGTGTCTGTGGGGCTTTCCAAATTGAGGTGAATTTAGACAGAGGGCGAGATCTCATGTCTTTTCATGTCAGCATGTGTGCAGTGCTCCTGTCTGAGGAGGACTTGACCTTCTCACACTTTGTTTCGTCTTCATCACCAGATCTTGAAATGACCTTCTGAATGACTTCATTCTGTCTTTCTCTCTCTTTCTGTAGAATTGGTCGGGAATGAAGTGTCAGTTTAAGTTATTCCGGATGGCCATGGCTCTGGTTTGCAGTAAGTCTGAATAAAAATGAATCTCTCCCCTTTCACCTCAACTTCAGAATCATTTTTCCAAAAAGTACTTTTAATCTGTTTGTCGAGCTATTCCATCACCAGAATTTAATTTCCTTATTAGAGAAAAAGTGATTCTGCTCCAAAGGCAGCAACAATAAAATGTCTGGCTTCAGCATATTGAGGATGTTTCAATAAGACCCAGTGAACACGGCAATCCAAACTCTGCCACGATTTCATGTCTTTACTTGCCTCGGATACATGCCTGTGAGGGGGACAAGATCATTTGTATTTTCTTTTATATGTCCCTCTTTTCCAAGATACAAATACAAACAAAATGGGGTGAAAAAATGGTGGTATGTTCACTTGCTTACATTATTTAAAAGCAAGCAGAATTACTACTAGATTGTGACCTGCAACACAGCCCCAAAGCACTGAGTGAGCTGATCAATTAAATGAATTTATTTATCTAAAGTTCTGTTGTTATCTATCCATGACAGCTCAGAAAATGTTAAAATAAGTCTTTGTTGGCCATCGACTCTAAAGTTCATCATTGTTTTATAACATTTTCACAAGTGCACTGTAGGTCAGGAACTAAGAACAAACCTTGCTTACATTGTGTTTTCTCTGTCTCCCTCTGTCTGCTCTCAGTGAGTGTAGAGTTTGGTCGGGCAGTGTGGCTGCGCTTCTACCCCCCGGCCTTTCCTCCGTGCCCCAATCCCAGCTTCGTAGCCCACCTGGGAGGGGTGATGGTTGGGCTGACGCTGGGTGTAGTGGTCCTGCAGAACTACGAGCAGCGCCTCCAGGAGCAGTCCCTGTTTTGGATCTTCTTCTGCGTCTACACCTTGTTTGTGCTCTGCGCTGTCTTCTGGAACATCTTTGCCTACAGCCTGCTTGACGTGCGACTGCCTCCACCACCTTGACTTGATTATCAGAGGCAGACTTGACACTGTATCCCCATTATTTCTCCATCGGTAGATCCCTTACCACCTTGCTGGATGACTCACCCCAGCCCTGATACTCTCTGATGCAGGGATGCACCTGACATGCAGAGGCCCATGGTTGCCGGTTATGTCATACCTTTTTCAGCCCATCTGTTCCTTATTGGTTAAATGTTGCCGTTGTTTTTCGCTTACCATACAAGCTAACCTCAGCCTGCTCTTTGTCAACATCTCTCTTGGACATTTGTCTAAAAAGTAACAGTCAGTTGGACATTTTTAGACATCACAATGACAAATGAGAAGCCTCGGATCTAACGCGACAGGATCAAGCAGGAATAGTCCTGTAAACCTGGCTAAACTTCCTCTGCCTATTCCTTCTCAATCCAACGGTGCCTTCTCATGGAGACGTCAGCCTGATGAAAGTATTTCTGCACAGTCACACCTTGTGTTTAATGACAGCAGTAAAACCCTGCTGTACAAAACGTTTTCAGAAAGAAGAGTTCCTGAAAATCTTTTACTCTGCCTGCAGCCCAATTGTCAGTAAATTAAGAATAAGGTCATGCTAGAATGTAGGCTTAGTTAGTGTTTTGTCATCATTTCAAGCAGCCTATAAGCAGGAGAGGTTAATATTAAAACAGATGGCAGGATAGCCAAACCTCCCCAACATTGTAGGGAAAGCATGGAGTTACCGCAACTTTCAAAAGTTATTATGAATCTTTGAATAAAATTGTGGGTTACTATTCAGCGTTGCCTCACTCATGTGACACTTGCCCAGATAATTATTTTTTGTGTTCAACACTATTTGAACCTTAAACGTGTGTCTTTTGACTTTTTTGTGTGCAAGGAGTGTGACAATTGTTCATACAGAAAAATATAAAAAGAAGCAGAAGTGCCATTTAGACTTTTAAGCTTTCAAACACGATGCCAAAACTACTACTAGCACTGGAGGGAAAGAGCACATCCCCAGAAAATAATTGTTTTTGTGTAATGAAAATGTATCTATTTTGTTCTGTTATGTATCGGTCATACAGTATGTGACAGAAAAAGGTCATGATCTCTAAAGAATCTCTCACCTTGGGGGAACCCTAAAATGAAGTCGATTATTTGTAATTTTGTTGTCCCCTCTGGGCAATTGCAGTAATTGTTTGTGATTGGTTGAAAAATAGCGATGAAGTGGCAACAATTTATTTATTCATTGGTGAGTAGGTGAATTACGTCAAATGGGATCAGACTAAAGCAACTTCCACCAGTGTGGACAACTGGGCCATTTTGAAGAAATCTAGTATTTTCTCATTACCAAACATAGAAGAGCACACATGCCTGACCTCGCCTACATCCGGGCTGGGGTCGTTTCACTCATATCAGGAGGCGTTGAGCGAAAGAAGTAAATCAATGCTCCCTCATTACTTCCTGTCACAACGTAAATTGTTAATTGATTGAACTGGGATAGAAAACGACCCCAGCCCTAAGCTGTAAGTCTCAAACTGTACTGTACTTTAACCTCATGTTACGCTGGTAACTGCTTCGCACAAACATTATTATAATGTAATTATATACAGATTAATATTTTAACATGCATTTGCTGTTGATTTTTTTGTATCTACTTGGTGATTATTGGTATGTTGTGTAAATTGTTTGGTCGGTCTGCATTGTGATATGTTAGCTATATCTTATATGTAGGCTATCCTATGTAAACATGTGTTAAAAGTATTGTGGGGTTGTATAAGGGCTATGACACAAACAAGATTGAGGGGGTAAATGCTGATAATATTTTAACATTGTTCATATTTTGTAGATTTGATATGTACATACTGGAGTACATTAAACTGTTTTATACAGAAACAAACAATGATTTATTTGCTCTTATTTATATCAGTGATGACTCAGGTCACATATACACGCATGCACACATACCATTTTTGACAATATTCTCAGGAAATGAATTACTCCCAATTGTGCAAAGAAAAGTGTTCAACCAAGCAGGTTTGCAGACTTGAAACCAGATTCACCTCAATTTGTTATCGAAGTGTTTAAATAGAGCTCAGGGCCCCAGATTGGAAAGCAGGGATAAGAGCCTTTGTGAAAAAAGCAGACGTCAAAGTGATCAATGAAAGGTGCGAGCATACAAGAATACGCCATAATTCATTCAGAGAAGAGACTCCTTAAGCTGTCACTGAATGTCTTCTCTGTCTAGCCGGTACAACCATATGGAGAGCAGCGTTTTGAAGGCGTACAATGAAAAATTCATTTGGCAGCCAAGGAAAGCCGCCTCAGTTGTTTCCCCTTCATAAATCTCCAATTTCAGAAGTAATCATTCACCTTGGTGAGAAAGAGAAGGCAAATAAAGCTGCAGGGGAAGGGAAATCTGAGTGAATGCATTTGGAGTCTCTTGCTTTTATGTTGCTTTCTGAGAGCAGCTCTTACAATTCGGTCAAGTTTTCATTTCACGTCTTTTAAGTTACAAGCAAGAAGAAGGACATTGTTCAACAGTTTGCACACAACATTGATTCTAATGCTTTTGCGTGTAAATTATCTCTAAATTGATACACATTAGGGTCACAGATCCTCATATAAGATTGACTTCCTGGGACCTTCATCCTAAATGTTTTGGTTTTTAGTTATAATTAGTCAAATAAAAGTTGAGGTTATAACCATGTACCATGGTAAAAGTATCAGAATAGTGGCTTTCATGAAATTCACTCAAATTGGGCTGACTTCTATAGTGAAATAAATGATAAAGTATTCTCTATTTTTCTGCGTCTTGAATGGCTGGTAGAAACCACTTGTCTTAAAAAGTAATGAATGCTACGACATAAGGATTTCCCTTAATTGGAATGGAGGAAATCATGAAAAAACAACTAAAGGATTAAAAAGATTCATGACAGGAGTATCTACATCCGTCTTTCAATACTGTATGTTATTTTGCACCAAATACACATGCCTATGAAAAATCCTGGATTTAATGCTAACATTCATCCATAAAATCAAGGCTAAACCATGCATAGACCATGTAAAGGGCTAGACCCAGTTTCCATATCTGCACCACTGTCTCCATCAAGTGGACGCTTACTGAATTACAAGTTGCAATTGTATGTTATGCACGTCAGTAGAATTTGTTTTCATGAATACTATTTACTATACAGTAATTCATAAGTGAACATCATTGAATTTAGAACATCTACCCCCAATAAGCAACACTTGAGGTGTCTGTTCGTGCTACTTTTTCTGGCCCACTGCAGACTCAGATGTTGTAGCCTTCCTTTATATGACAATGTATTATTTTAAGTTAAGCTTCCAAGCAGCATGTCAAGAAAATAGGCAACACTTTACCAGCTACAACATCACTTGTTTAATTTAAACAAAAGGCTTGTTACCAAGGAAGTGCTCCTCTGTGATGTTTGGTCTAACTTCCTGCCTGTGGTGGACTATGAATTCTGCTAAATGTAATCACAAAGCACGTGCATTTTTGCAAAGTTCATTATTGATGTATAATGTTTTATGTTAGGGACTGCCACAGCTATATGTGTTAAAGTCTTAAAAAAGCCCCCACACCCTGTTAAGTTGTTCACTCAACTTAGCCTATATTGATATATGAATCTTTGTATCATTTTATTTTTACTGAATGAGTGGGGGTTTGGTTTGAATCAGGTTTGAATACGCTACATGATTCAGGGGCGTGTCTTGACATGACGTCTATTTTCTGCACTACAACTTCCTCCATCAAAGCGCCATTTTCGGCGTTGTTACGGGACTACAGCATGCTGTTGTCAAAAAGATAATAAGACTACTATTTCAAGTTGTAAGAAATCGTTTTCATTATCCATTGGCAATGGGGCGTAAAAAGAAGAAGCAGATGAAGCCATGGTGCTGGTATCCTTTTGACCGGATGACAACAAAGCAACGTAGAAATGCCAGAGGCTAATCGTTAGCTTGACAAAAGGAAGGCCTAAGCTAGCCTGTCTGAGGTTTTATCGGCTTGTATGCTAACATTAGCCTAACCATTTGGCTTTGGAGTCTAGTCAATCGTTTTGAAGATTGCCTTTTCCCAGTGTTTATTTAATATCGGTCAAATATTTGGCTCCGACTACACGTAACTGTTAAAAGTTTGCGTTCAATTCACTGGATTGCTGAGAAGAAAGTAATGCTAGCTACCTTCGGAACGGAGGTAGCTTGCTAACATGTTAGCCATGCATTGATGATTCCGGGTAGCATTAACGTTGAACGGTATGATTCAAGGTTCAGGGCGGTTAAGTGTGAAACCTTATTTTTACCGAGATGTTTTGTAACCTAACAGCTTGCTATGTCCTTCATTGATCATGAATGGGGATTAGGACTCACGCTACACCTCGGAGCTTTTATTTAGGCAGCATTAGGGTTTGTTTTGAATGCTTGCGTGTGATTCTCTGACTTTGTGAACTGTGTTGTTGCTTAGTATTTGTTCATGTTTCCTCTTTCTATACATTCCTTAACTTCTTTCTCAAGGTACTGTAATCGAGACTTTGATGATGAAAAGATCCTCATTCAGCATCAGAAGGCAAAGCATTTTAAATGCCATATTTGTCACAAGAAGTTGTACACAGGCCCAGGATTGGCTATTCATTGCATGCAGGTGGGTAGCTTTTTTGTCTTTTTGTCCTGGTTTAGTTCATAGCTCTTGCAACGTTGTAGTCAAAACAGAGCTATAACTTATCATACACTGGACAATAGGTGTTCTCTTTAGATGTGAATATGCACTGGCTCACTTTGCATGCGTTTCAGGTACACAAAGAGACGATTGACAGTGTTCCAAATGCAATTCCTGGAAGAGTTGACATTGAGCTGGAGATCTACGGTATGGAGGGGATTCCAGAGAAAGACATGCAGGAAAGAAGACGAACATTAGAACAGAAATCACAAGGTTTGTAAACCTTTAAGCTCTTTCTTGCCAATTTAGAATAAAAGCCTAGATTTCCAAAATGTGTAATAATGTTGTGTATTTGGAATCATTTAAGATTAAGCGTAAATCTTTGAATATGTTCATTTATTGTGTGATCTATTACTACTTCGTTTTTATAATGCTGTGGGTTGACGTAATTTGATCATTCTTAAAGCTTCACCGCAACCTTTTCTTTTCTTTAGAGAGTCAAAAGAAGAAGTCAAACAATCAGGACGACTCTGATGAGGATGATGACGATGATGATGAAGCAGGACCATCAGTTCCGCAGCCGGCTGTTGTCCAGCCCCAGCAAGGCTACGCTGCTCCAATGGCCCAGCTCGGGATGCCTCCTGTGGCTGGCGTACCTGGGATGCACCCTGGAGCATATCAAGGCAAGGAACCTTAGTGAAAAGCAGAAGTTGGGAATTATCACTAAAAACCTTTTTTAAAAACACCCAACAACCTTCTTTATTTGGTCAGTTTGATCTAAACCAACCACAATTACAAGAATGGTTGAACATTTTCCTGATTAGGTCGTCAATGTATCACTTGGTTTTTGTGCTAGAGTTTATATTTAATTAATAGCAATGCCAAATGTTAGGCTCTCCCTGTAATTCCTACATGTTGTCTTCATCAAATCTCTGCATTTAATAAGCTGTTTATGGTGTTGCTATTTTAGTCCTGGTTTCTGTGTTTGCAATGTATAGTTTATACCTAAACGAGGACACACTGTTATTGTTGTGAAGCACCTACAGTGTGAGAAAGTTTAGACTTGGAATTTAACAGAAATTAAGATGAATCAGCGGGGATAGAGATTACTGCATATGTATTCTTGTGTTCAGTTTCCTAGACATGTAGCTGCCTGTTTTGAGTGATGTAGTGTTGAGTTTCTAGTAAACAGAACATGCCCCCTCTCATTGTTAAAGGCATGCCTCCCATGATGCCGGGCGTTCCTCCCATGATGCACGGCATGCCCCATGCCATGCATGGAATGCCACCAGGGTAAGAGACGTCTCATTGACTGTGTCTAATGTTATTTCATGTTCAATGCTTCTTTAGTTTAATCTTAATGATATGCCACTATTTAGTTTGTGGGTAATTATTGTATCACATTCTATTGTAATTATAGTAACACCAAACAATCCTTCTGTCTTTTGCAGCATGATGCAAATGGGTGGAATGATGCCTCCCATGATGCCAGGGATGCCTGGTATGCCACACGGTGAGTTGTGGTTGTATTCTACACTGGGGTTACACAAGAAATGTATTATCTATTCCAAAAATAAATTAAGAGTTTGTCATATAACAGTATATAGTAACCCTATTAAATCACATTTGTAATCACTATCATAGCAAAAACTGTTTGTTGCTTCCATTTTTAGATGGTTAGGCAAATGTAGCTGATATGTTAACTGTTTATTTGTTAGGTGAATGTTTTCATATTGACATAATGGACCAGTCTTTCGAGACAGACATTGGCTTCTTAAATTATTGTTCCTTCTTTGTGTACCTTGTTTATTTAGCCTTTTGTGGTTCCAATGCAATGCTGGCAGAAGGGTTAATTGAGCTGTTTGGTTGATGTTTAGGAATGCCCCATCACATGGCTCCCAGGCCAGGCATGCCCCACATGGCCCAGGCAGTCGGAGTGATGGCCAGCCGACCGGCGGTCCCAGGGGTCCAGCCCGCCGTCTCCAAACCTCTTTTCCCCAGTGCAGCGCAGGTGGGCAACACACACACACTTTTCTGTGTGTTTACAGGTGTCTCTAAAGTCTCTAAATTAAAGGCTTTATTCTGTTTCTTAAGAACACGATACTCAGCGACGTTATTTCATTTCGCAACACTTCTTGTTTCTGGTATCCTGGTTCCTCTTTTATGTAGCCAGCTGTTCTTCTTTTCTTTTCCGATCTTTCTTTCATTAT